GCAGATCTCGTTCGTATTGTGAATAATAATTAAATTTATTTCCCTTTGCCACCTCCTTTTGCTTCATTACACCTTTTCTTATAACAGATCAAAAAGAAGTTGACTTCTTATATTTTGATTAATAAACTTAATTTATTTTATTAGTATAATTATGGCTAAAAAGAATGCTTCTCTACTCGTGAAATTAGTTAGTACTGCAATTAAAGAAACAAATACTGGTGAAAAAAAACTGACGGGTTATTTTTATGTAAAAAAGCGCAACCCAAAAAAACTTACTAAAAAGTTAGAATTTAGAAAATATGATCCTGTAGTAAGGAAGCATGTGTTGTTTAAAGAAGAAAAGTTAAAGTAGCTTATTATGCAAAATTCACAATCAAATTATTCTGTAGTCATAGAGCTAGGTGATGTTAAGGGTGTAAAATTGGAGTTAATGAAGATTATTGCACAGATAATAAGCACAAGATATAAGACACAAAAAGAAGCGGCAAATATATTGAATATCGATCAGCCTAAAGTATCTCAAATTAACAGATTAAAAATTGAAGGCTTTTCTTTAAAGTACTTAGTTAATCTATTAACTATGTTGAACCACGAAGTAAAGATAAAAGTACAGGAAAATCTTGAATTACACCCATTAGAGTTGGTTTAATCAAAAAAAATAGGGAGTGTTAAATAAACAATACGCGTCAAGTTAAGGAAAGCCAAAAGTAAAGCTGATAGAAAAAAAGAAGTAATAAGGTATAAGTTCTCTTAAATAGCTGAATAAAGAACTTATAATGAATAGGATAGCGTGCTTATCAAAAAAACTCAAAGAATTCTTTAATGAAAAAGCAGATGAAATATCAAAGGAGGTAGGTGTACAGTCCCATCATATGATGGTATATTATCATCATCATTTAAGGAGTCATTATGGAACAAGTATTACATGGATGCGCCAGAACAACAGAGGCAGTTCGTAGAGCATAGCAAAACTTGCGGAGCACTATAATCTTAATCCGAAAACTATTGTAAAATGGAAGAAACGCTCATTTGTTACAGACGCTACAATGGGCCCAAAACAGCCAAGATCAACGGTTTTAACCAAAGAGGAAGAGGCTATAATTGTCACTTTTCGTAAGCATACACTTCTTCCTTTGGACGACTGTCTTTACTCTTTGCAGGCCACAATTCCTCACTTAACTCGGTCTAGTTTGCATCGTTGTTTGCAAAGACACGGCATTAGCAGGCTGCCAGATGTTGAAGGAGAGGTAAAAGCCAAAAAGAAATTCAAGCAATATCCAATCGGTTATTTCCATATTGATATCGCAGAAGTTAGAACAGAAGAAGGGAAATTACAGCTATTTGTTGCTATAGATAGAACCTCTAAATTTGCCTATGTTGAGCTGCATAACAGCGCTACAAAACCAATAGCTGCTGAGTTTTTGCGCAATTTGATCAAAATTCTACCGTATAAAATACATACAATTCTTACTGATAACGGCATACTATTTACTAATCAAGAACGTCATAAGCACGCTTTTCAGCACATATTTGATAGAGTTTGTGAAGAAAATGACATTGAACATCGTCTGACTAAAATCGGCCATCCTTGGACAAATGGCCAAGTTGAGCGTATGAATAGGACGCTAAAAGATGCTACAGTTAAAAAGTATTACTACAAATCACATCAGCAACTCAAAGAGCATCTTTACAGCTTCGTTATGGCCTACAATTACGCTAAAAAACTCAAAACTCTTAAGGGTCTCACACCTTA